TATATATATATATATGTGTGTGTGTGTGTGTGTGTGTGTGTGAATGTAATGAGAATGAAAATATATAAATTCTAACATTCACAGCATTAATTCAAAAGAGGGCTCAATACTGATAGTAAAGCAATAATTATTTATTATAATTTTTTCATGTAAACAAAAACAATTTACTCACGACAAAGATGCAACATCATTTCAGTGCATTTAATCACAACTAAATGCACCAAAACAAAGTTGCATCTTTGTCGTGAGTAAATTGTTTTTATCTAGATAAAAAAATTATGAGATATATATATATATATATATATATATATATATATATATACACACACAAGTCCATTCAAGGTTGATATTGAATATAACAGCTACTTACACACTCACTTCTGAGCATCAATGCATATCATTAATAAGAGATTTTTTTGTCAATATAAACATCTGATGATGGGACAGAAAGCAGGGATATGGATTCAGGTCTTCCACAAAAGCATTAGTGCACAGTGGACACAAGTAACCATGGCTGCAATTCAATCATCTATGCACATACACAAGTATCTCCCACCATTTCAAAGTTTCCGCAATGTCATTTCATTATTACAAAAGACAAATTCTATCAGAAATTACATAAAATGATAAAACATTCCCAGATGTTCGGTCTTGTTAGATTGAGACTTTCATATGTAAAGCACCAAACCATTTCAGAAATATATAAACTATCAGCTGTTGCAACCACTTTCTCAGTTCAATGGTTAAAAACGGCTTTAAGCAAATGAAGTCTGTGGGTCATAGTGAAGACCAGTCTTCTTCGAGATTTGTGAAATGGTGCTATAGATTGACAAAGAACTGTACCAAATAACAGAAACTTGAGGACTTTCAACAGCTGCAACAACTAAAATGGATATCACAGGCAACTCAAAGAGAAAATGCAGGTATACTTCAGGTTATACCATTTCAATTATATATTGTTTGTCAAAAAAATATACAAAAAAATAAAAATCAAGTCATTTTATTTGACTTTACATCTGTCCACCACAAATATTGAAGTCATATTTAACTAGCACATAAAATCATGTTACTGTAGAATAAATAATAATAAAAGTATATAAAATTATATTAAAATATGTACATTTACAGTAAATGTTAATATAATCATCATAAATCCTAGAGAACGAAATATGAAAACATCTGTGACTGTGTTGTTGTCTTATTTAGCGGTTTTAAGAGCTCAATATTGGCATTTCCAGGGTAGCTCCAATATCTACCATTTAGCATCATTGTCAGCACCACTCGTGATTCCCATGAAATTGAAATTCAGTTTAGTTTAGGCATACATACGCCATACGTCTGCTTATTGCCTACTCTCTCATTCTCATTCATTTGTTACTTTATATTTTACCCTTATAGATCCAAAGAAAATCCCTAATGCAAGTGCTAAGCCTCATGCTATAACTTACTATAATAAAATTCCATGAAAAAGGTGAAAAGGTTATATCAATTGCTCAATCTTTTGGAATGAGTTGGATGTCTGTATTGATGATTGTTCACAATAAGGATAAGATTTTGGCACATATCAAATCTGTTGCCCCAGGGATGATGAATACTGTTATCAATAAGAAAAGAGGAAAAATCTTTGAAGAGATTGGACAACTTTTTTTCTCTTTGGCTAGATGGATTGAATCATCAGTGTGCTGCTATTAGTCAAGAAATCATTCAAGCAAAAATGTTGTCTTTGAGGACCTGAACAAAAATACCCAGATGAGAAAGATGTAGAGTTTAATGTGAGTCAAGGCTGGTTTATGAAATTTAAAAAAATGAAGAAGTTATCACCCTATTAAGAAGCAAGGTGAAAGTGCATCAGCTGACCAACAAGCAGCAGATGATTTTCCTAAAGCATTGACTAAGATCATCAAAGAAAATAGTTTTCTTCTTGAACAGACTTTTAATGTTAACTGGATTATATTGGAAAAAATTGCTAGACCATTCTTTCATTGCTAATGCTAACTGTAAGGCTATATTGCTGATAAATTATTTTATTCAGAATACTGTACGTACATATAAATGCTGTAATATGCAATGGGGAGTACTTATTTGTGGTTTATAGTGTGGTTATTTCAACTTAAGTCATTTTTCAACCTGGTTGATATTACCATTACCATCAGAAAAAAATGAACCTTCTATGTTTGCCTTCCTCAATATCAAATGCTGGGGTCGAACATCTGCAGTGGCAGTTTCAAATATGACAGAATACTTGACCATTTAGTCTCAAATATTTTACTATCAAAGTTGTCAGCACTGAAATAATTTGGTCAAACTTGTATACGACATTTCAAAATTAATGCCATAATTTTTCAGAAATCATTGCAGTACTGTCAATCATTATATATATATATATATATATATTATGGGGTTCTGGAAATGCACAAAAGTTGTTTTTTTTCTATTTAAATTAATCACTTTCCTGACTTTATGCCATTCTGGTTTATGAAGGCTTTCATAGGTACACTCTATTTTGGAGTAACAGAGGAAACTTTTTTCTTCTTTATGTGTTATGTCCCCTTAGAATATAGGCAATCATGGCTCCTCACAACTTCCCAGCCCTTGTAGGCTCTTAATAAACTTTATCTTTCTGTTATTTCTCCTAAGCCATTCATTTACTCAAGCTCACTGAATATGTTATACATTGTTTTTCTCTGTCCCTCTTTCCCTCTATTTGTCCAGTCAGTATCAGATTTTCAAAGCCCTCCTTCCTCATAAGCCCTAGAAACCTCAACTGTCTCTTCCTGATGTTAACTATTAGTTTCCTTTTTGTTTCCATTTTCTCTAAAACTTCATAGTTACACACGTTTGGTTAACAGTATCCCCAGAATCCTTATAACAGTAAATGTCATTTGCCCAATAACTAGCTTCACTGAAAGGGTTACATTGAAACTTCCCTTTGTCAAGTGTTCACTTCACCAAACAAAAAAAATGAAAACAAATGAAGTTAAAAATTAAAGGGAGATAACTTTCATATTTGAACAGTGCTTTTTAAAAAAATTAAGTATCATTAAAAGTTTTGTTGTTTATTAATGACAATGAACACCTTTTACTCCATAAATTCAAAAATAAGGTTGACTATAGTCAGGATCATCAAGTCACTGAACAATCTTTTCCATAGCTGCATAGTATGTACTTCGCCAGGACCACATACTGTTTTGAATTCAGTTTTCCTTCTCGACTGGCTGTCACCCAAGGCTACAGAACACAGACTGTTATACTATTTACCCATAGCTGGAGGGAGAAGAGTTGAATTTTCTAATGGTGTTAGCATAAACTCTGCTCTCTGATCCCTTAATCCAAGCTGCAGTCCATTACTATTATCATTAATATTTTAGTTTTATTCTAAGGATATTTAAAACAAGTAAAAAAAAAATGGCAAAAACAAACCAATTTAAATATTGGTCCTATCCAAAATACATGCGTCCTTCCTTCTGACCACTTGGGTGATCATGTCTCTTTTAAATTCCTGATTGGCAAAAGAATTCCCAGTAAGTTGCCATTACTTTCTTCAGTAGGCTGTTTGCCAACCATGACTACAAGATCCAGTCTGCCTTGCTACTTAACCAATAGCCAGAGAAAGAAGAGATAAAAATCATACCTTTCCCAAGGGTATTTGAACATAAGTGAGTGTAATAAATGTGACTGGAATTCAAACTCTGATTTCGAGCTGTTATCCATTGTACCACTGGTGCATTCAAGCTTACAAGAACCTGCTATTTCCAGTCAGTCACCCATCTCGGTTCTGACTAGGTTCAATGTTACTTAACTTTCAGATGGGCACCAGTGTTTCAATGTGATATGGTGGTATTTAAATGTGTTAATAATATTAAATATTTAAAAAGTCTCCTGCATTAATTCATATCACGCTTTTATTTATTTATTTTATTATTTATTAAATTTAATATTTTATTTTAAAATTTTAATATTTATAATTTTAATATTTATATTTTAATATTTATTAAATTTAATATTTATATTTTAATATTTATATTTTGATATTTATTAAATTTAATATTTATATTTTAATATTTATTAAATTTAATATTTATATTTTAATTCTCTTTTCTCATTTTATTTTTATTGCCACCCCACCACAAAAAAAAATCAATTTCATGCATTAACTGATTTCAACATTAAATAATTTCTTCAAACAAACTCCTTGTCAGTCATTCATTATCATAAATAAGCAACAGACACATTAATGAGTAATTTTTAAACAACGCATAATCTATATATAAAATTCTGTGACTTTCGTTAGTATGTTTGTCTGTCCATCACACCCTCTAAAATAGTCATACATTGACCGATCTAAACCAAATTTTGGGGAGAAGTGCAAACAGGTAAGGATGGTGCAAGGTACTGTTGGTTTTACTAGGGTGTGTAGCTTAGTACAATAAATTTTCATTAATTTTTTTTTAAAAATTAAGTTTTATTTAACATACAAAATATTCCCACTATTGTAAAAACAATTTAATAATTGAAATAAATACTTATTTAATAAAAATACAATATTGTTTTTGCATATCTTTTGCTTAAGTTTTTATATATATATATATATTATATATATATATATATATATATATACACAAGAATCCAGTTTCCAGTTTGCCCTGTGTCTGCAAGAACTATAAACAAATCACAAAGTCAAACATTTTAAAAAGTTGGAATTTGACTCCAGAAACAAATATTTATGCATGGCCAGTTGTATGTTGCATGCTTGAGAGTAAGAAATTCTAAGAATTTATTATTTGCTGTTAAAAAGGAAAAAAAAGAAATAAGCATGTTGCAAAAAAAAATTCTAGTTTAAGAAAAGCATGATTCAGACACTTATCGCCCTTTAATTTTCTGAATGATTCAACAAAGTGAAGACTTGTTTTAATTTGGTGAAGCCAGTTTTTTAAGAAGTGACATTCACAGTGATGAACCCAACACAATAAATGAAAGTCAATGCATTTGAGAAGACTTACCTTTTTCTCATTGCCAGTCACCATTGACAAGTACAACCATGTTAGGGTGGGAATGAATTCAAATGTGAAACGCTGCAATTCAAGCTCTTTTGAGCGGAAAAATTCAAATAACTGGTGACATATTGGATCAAGAATCTGTAGAGAAAAAAAAAAACAAAAAACAAGATGTCATAAATTAACTTAAAGCTGACAATTTAAACAAGATAAAAAATAAATATGAATTTTATTGTTTTTTTTTTTTAATTTTTAAAAACACTAATCCTAAAAGCTATTCTTTACCAGTTTCAGAAATTGTGGTTTGAGAGCTGAAAATAAAAAAACAAGCCAAGAATGGGTGTATCAAAGCAGAATAACTGGGGCTTGGTAGTTCTTCCTCTGCGTCTCTTACAACATTTTCATACATCCTTTTTATTCCTTTCTGACTAGCACATTGCTTTGTCAAGTATGCTGAAATGAAAAAAAAAAAAAAAATCACCAACTCCTATTTTTGGTAGAGTTTTATAGTTTCTTTCTTCCTTCCCATAATTTGTCATTTTCTTTGGTTTGCCATATCTTCCTATAAAAGAAATCACTTGTCAATGTTTCTTCTCTTCCCCCACCATGAGGTAAGTGACATTGCATTTTATTCTTTTTCTTTTCATTCAAACTACAGAAATATAGATGAGAACCACATTTAATCTTAATCTGAAATTTCTGCCTGAATTTCTAAAATTTATTGTTATTATTTACAACTAGACTAAAGTTTTTAATCTTCTTGTTACTATCACAGCATTTTAAAAATTGTGCACACTGGCCTTCTCCAGGTGTCTGTTGATCCAGGTAGCCTTTTGGCAATTTCAAACCTTATTCAATTTACAGAGATAGATTGTTCTCATTTGGCTATCCATGTCTAGGGAGATTTAATTTTGGTTAATTGTCCATTTTTTTTCTTTTCATACTAATAAGTCATTGCTAGTTCCCTCCCCCAAATGTAAGTATGTCCTTATTACACGTCCTGGGATTAGATTCACTATTACTATGGCATCAACTTTGTTAACAAGCACTTTAACCCACTAGGCAATTGTACAGTAGGATATAGACAGCAGAATGATTAATTGATTGATTTATCCATTTAACAGCATATCAACTCTTTATGGGTCATTTAATGCTAAAATTTAATTTTCTTGGGAGCTTGGAAGTAATAGAAATATATGTTTTTCCACTTTCACAGCTGAGTACATGGTAGATGATACTCAGCTTTTGTGCTTATATATGTTTATGTAACCATAATTACTAGAGGCGTTGATGTGTGTGTTTTATGTTGTAGTTTTGTTGAAGTTATATTTTGGAATACAATTTGATTTAAGAAATTCTAGGATATTATTTGAAGTAATGTCATGAAAATTCTTTTGTTGGTTGTTTGATTGATTTTAAATGTATTTGCAACAATTTGTTAGTATGTGTGTATAATTTGTAATTTTTTATATAAAAATGTATTGCTGGTATTTTTACTTTAAAAATGTATTAATATACTTTCATAGGGTTTTGTTTTCCTTTTTTTTGGCAGTGGGGAGGTCACTATTTGCTCATAACTGGTACCCTAATAGGTGCTACCATGCCAGGTCATGGTGGACTTGGGAACAACAGAAATTAAGAGGTTCCTCAAAACCTTCAATCTCCTGATCAGAGGCCTTGACAGCAGAATTAGAGGAATATAGCCCCTATAATGGTAGGATTAGTGGTTTACCTACAAGGAAACACAAGAGTTGTACAACACTTCTACTAGTTTCCAACCAAGGTTAGAAAACCCAGTCTACCCTGCTATTAAACCATAATTGTGTATTTGTGAAAAGTGAACACAACGTACTTAGAATTTGAGATGCCAATCCCACTGTCTGAGCTGATAACTGCCACACTACATTCATTTCCACTAGTTGACATTACTACTAATTAAATTATTACTACAAGAATGCTTCTGTAAACTGTAGTAGGTTGGTATTTGTTTTTTTTGTCTAGTATCAGAAGATGGTAATGTCATTGGACCACAATGGTGGGAAAATTAAGGGTCAATTTTTATTGATACACATAAGTACTAATCTCAGAGGCAAGAGAGTGGTCGACCTCAAGTCAACATGACATTGAGAGAGGGTGACTGAATCTTGTTTCCTTAGGACCACTGCAAAAACCCGTCCGAATCCAATGATTCAAAAGTATCAAGAGAAAGATGATCTCCTTTCTAGAAGTGGGGTCACAAACTTTGCACATGACCCAAAACCCTTTTTTTGGCGGCGGGGTCCATTTGCATTATGGGAAAATATAATAATTTATTCTTTTTATTAATATGTTTATTATTTATTTTATTTATTATTTAATTTTCAATCTCCCACAGAACTCTACAGTTATAGCCATTGGTAAAAGTCGGCTAAGCCTATCAAAATGCTCAAACAAAATACAGTATTAAATGGATTTATCATGCTTTTTCTTTCTCAGCCCAGAGCTGTGGTGACAGTGTTTTCAAGGAATAACTTTGCTAACATTTCTACAGCTTCTGTTAGCTAATACTATACATGAATGTGTCACACTGCTCAAACTAACTTTGACATACATGAGACATTGACATATATAAGGTGACACAATAATACTCCAAGTCCATATAAAAATTAATCAGATGCCAGCTTCCATAATACATTATAAAATGTGGAAAATTTCACTGGTCTTCTGAGTGGTTTGTATAATATCATTTATTGAATTCATGTACTGCTTTGTCATCATGCAGCACTTGTTTACTTATAACAAAAGGTGCTCAAAAGCTTTCGAGACCTACCTATGGGTTTTTCAATCAGTGGTCTTTTAAATATACATATATGTCTGTCAGATTTAATAAGATTATAAAATTTTTAGTGTGAACTTATAAATTTCTGGGATGAGAAGTTATTATTTGGACTATTTACACATGCAATATATTGCAACATTGTGATAATAACAACAAATATGAGAACAATAGTCCAAGTGTAAATAGTTTAAATAAACTCATTTGGTATGCATTTACAATAATTTATTCAGCGTTGTTATGTAACATGATGGTTGTTTATCACGCAGTAATTTGCTTATGGCCATATCACACTGAAATTTATGAAATGTACAATCACTGAAATTAAGCAACATCAGACCTGGTCAGTACCCAGATTGGTGATACTTATTCCACGTGCCATGCCTCTTCTGGATGTCTCAGTTATCTCCCTTTAACTCAACTCTCCAAGTTCTTGTTTACCACTGCAGTAGCCAGGTATTGAACTCAAAACTCTTTGAAACTGGAAATCAGAGAGGCAAGTTCCAATTCCAATTGAGTTTGTTATATTCACTTACACACAAATATCCTTGGGAAAGGTATGAATCCACCTCTTCTTCCCCCAGCTATGGGTTAATTAATAAAGCTTATATTAGTAAATCATTATCTCAAAAAAAATTTTACTATCTAAAAATATTTTATGGTTTTAAATAACCTAAAAAAGGTTGACAAGCCATAAAAAAACAAATCAATCAATTCCCTCTCTCTCTGTTTTTCCTTCCAAATTTTTTCTTTCTTGACCTAATCTGTATTGTTTTAATGTTATCCTGACTGATTACCTTATTGTCCAGCATGCTAATCTTTTATATATATCAAACAAATACATCCCTTGTAACTTAGATGATTGTTGAGGTGTGGGAAAAACATCATGATATAATTTCTAATTTCAAATATATAAAAATTGCTATAGATTCTAAGATATAATATCAAAGGAGAGGATATTGTTAAATTATTGAGTAAGAGGAACAACTTTGGAAATTGGGAAAAGTTGAAAAGAGATGAAATCAAATAAAGAAATTGAAAACATTGTCAAAAACCAGAAAAAGAAAAAAAAAAAGAGATTTGATGAAAATTAAAAGGGCAAAAAGCAAGAAAACAAGGAATTATTTGAAGAATATGACGTTGCAAATGTACATAAAAAAATGTAGAATATTAAGAACACTGGCTGAAGATATGAAAGCAACTAAACTACCACCCTTAAGTAAACATCACAAAAAGAAGTGTCAAAGTTAATCATAGAAGTACACAAAAACTGTTCAATTTCCTTATCTCCTATACTAAATTCGTTATAACTGAACTATTTGAATAATTTAATATTATTTCCTTCCAACTTTTTTTCTTAAACACAAATATACTTAGGAAAGGTATGGGTTAATTAATAGAGATTATATCAGTAAATCATTATCTAAAAATATTTTATCAAATTCCTAACCATGCATTTTCAGGATAGATTCAAGGTACATAACACCACTGCTTTCATTCCAATTCCAGATCATAGTTTCTGTTTTGGAAAACATCTTGAGCCCTATTTCTTGGAACACTTGTTAGAGGATGTCTTTTTATTTTTTTTAATCATTTCACCCTAAGCAAGGTGGGAATGCCACTAGTATACAAGAGTTTACAGACAATGAAGGTGAGAGAAAAGACTGGGTATTGAAGAAAAGGATAAAAGATGAATGGAATTCAAGAAGATAGAAGATGGCAATTGACATTGCATATAAATTTTTTACAATTGTAGTTTTCAGGGAAGAAAATGGAAGAAAGTTCCACAGGTGGGATGTACAAGAAATTTAAAAAAAAAAAAAAAAAAAGCAAAAAGGTAGGACCTAGATGCCAATCTAGTAGCACGCTTAAATTCATGTAGTCAGTGCATTAGGGGGGAAAAAGCTCATCAGAACAGATGCCATGAAAATATTTGTAGAAAAGACAGAGGGAAGTCACATTACATCGGAGAGAAAGTGACTTTTGTCAAGACCTCAAGTCAGGTCACGTCACATCAGTGAGAAAACGACTGAAGTCAAGATGCCAAGTCAAATTGCAGATCCTTCTTCGGATTTTGTCAAAAAATTCAAGATGAATAGCAGGAGCACCAGAACAGATATGGCAACAGTCAAAAGTTATGAGCCACTAGAGGAATTGTATAATTAAATGCATTTATTGATAGAAGAAAAACTCAATTTTATTATATACAATTCTCAACATTAAATATTGTAATCACTATTTAATATGGCTCCCATTGTCATAACTATAGCCTCAACTCAATGAAGTGCTTACACAAGAGAAGATATATTTAGAAATACTAGCTGGA